AACAATTTAATCCTGTCAAGCCAGTCACTAGATGCTCCATATGTACTAGCTCACTCTCAAAAAAATTAAACACCTTGTATTAAAGCTGAATTAAAATACGTTCTCCCCATTCTAGATTCTTAATTTTATTATTTTATGAAGGTGTAGACTAGTCTTAGTATCTTATTTGAAAGACCACACCATTATACTGATTGACAGCTTAGACATTATACTTGCACTTACAGAATGACTTGAATCCATGAACTAAGAGAAATCATAGAATCCCATAGTGTGTGAAAACAGGCCCTTCAGCCCAACAAGTCCACACCGACCCTCAGACATCCCACCCAGAACCATTCCCCTGTACACATCCCCGAATACTTTGGGCAATTTAGCACAGCCATCTTTGGATGGTGGGTGGAAACCAGACATGGGAAGAAAGTGCAAACTCCACACAGTCGCCTGAGGGTGGAAGCGAACCCAGGTTCCCGGCACTGTGAGGCAGCAGTGCTAACCACTGAGCCACTGTGCACCCAGGAATAGACAACTAAACTATGCTGATACCTATACTTACAGTCGAGCACATAACCACTTAGCAAATCAAGTACAATGGAAAAGAAATCAAATCTTTGTGAGGAAAACAATCGTAATAGTGAATGTTTGAACCAGTTTAGTTGTAGAATCATACAGTCACAGAGCCGTACAGCATGGAAACAGACCCTTTGGTCCAACTCATCCATGTTGACCAAATATCATGAAAAAACTATTCACATTTGCCAGCATTTGGCTCATATCCCCCTAAACCCTTCCTATTCATATACCCATCCAGATGCCTTTCAAATGCTGTAATTGTACCAGCTCATTCTATATATACACCGCCCTCTGCGTGAAAACGTTTTTCCTTCAGTCCCTTTTAAATTTTTCACCTCTCAATTTAAACCTATGCCGTTCAGGTTTTGGACTCTCCCACCCCGCAAAGACCTTGTCTATTCACCCTATCCATGCCCCTCGTGATTTTACAAACCTCTATAACGTCACCCCTCACTGAACATGCTGTTATTTGCCATCTCTGCTGGAGTGGTGTAGATAAAATTGATCCACTTTTCACTCCAGGGAAAATAGCCCCAGCCTATTCAGCCACTTCCTATAGTTCAAACCCTCCAACCCTGGCAACATCATTGTAAATCTTTTCTGAACTCTTTCAAGTTTCACAACATCCTTTCTACAGCAGGGAGGCCAGAATTGAATGCATTATTCCAAAAGTGACCTAACCAATGCCATGTACAACTGCAACATCAGCTCGCACCTCCTATACTCAATGCACTGACTAATAAAGGCAAGAACACCAAATGCCTTCTTCACTATCCTGTCTGCCTGGAAGTCTACTTTCAAGGAATTATGAACCTACAGTCCAAGGTTTCTTTGTTTTATTTTTATTCATTTGTGGGATGTGGGCATCGCTGGCTCGCCAGCATTTCTTGCCCATCCCTATTTGCCCTTGAGAAGGTGGTGGTGAGCTGCCTTCTTGAACCGCTGCAGTCCTCCAGCTGTGGGTTGACCCACAATGCTCTTAGGGAGGGGATTCCAGGATTTTGACCCAGTGACAGTGAAGGAACAGTGATATATTTCCAAGTCAGGATAGTGAGTGACTTGGAGCGGAACTTGGAGGTGGTGGTGTTCCCATATATCTGCTGCCCTTGTCCTTCTAGGTGGAAGTGGTCATGGGTTTGGAAGGTGCTGTCTGAGGATCTTTGGTGAATTTCTGCAGTGCATCTTGTAGATAGCACACACTGCTTCTACTGAGCGTCGGTAGTGGAGGGAGCGAATGCTTGTGGATGTAGTGCCAATCAAGCGGGCTGCTTTGTCCTGGATGGTGTCAAGTTTGTTGAGTGTTGTTGGGGCTGCACTCATCCAGGCAAGTGGGGCGTATTCCATCAGACTACTGACTCGTGCCTTGTAGATGGTGGACAGGCTTTAAGGAGTCAGCAGGTGATTTACTCGCTGCAGTATTCTCAGCTTCTGGCCTGCTCTTTAGTCACTCTGTTAATGTGGTGAATCCAATTGAGTTTCTGGTCAATGGTAACTCCCAGGATGTTGATAGTGGGGGATTCAGTGATGATGACACCATTGAATGTCAAGGGGCGGTGGTTAGATTGTCTCTTATTTGTTTTGGTCACAGCCTGGCATTTGTGTGGCGCGAATGGCACTTGCCACTTGACAGCCCAAACCCGTATATTGTCCAGATCTTGTTGCATGTGAACATGGACTGCTTCAGTATCTGAGGAGTCACGAATGGTGCTGAACATTGTGCAATCATCGGCGAACATCCCCACTTTCTGACCTTATGATGGAGGAATGGTCATTGATGAAGCAACTGACGATGTTTGGGCCTAGGACACTACCCTGAGGAACTCCTGCAGAGATGTCCTGGAGCTGAGATGATTGACTTCCCACAAACACGACCATCTTCCTATGTGTCAGGTATGACTCCAACCACCGGAGAGTTTTCTCCCAATACTCATTGATTCCAGTTTTGCTAGGGCTCCTTGATGCCACACTCGGTCGAATGCAGCCTTGGCATCAAGAGCTGTCACTCTCACCTCACTTCTGGAATTCAGCTCTTTTGTCCATGTTTGAACCAAGGCTGTAATGAGATCAGGAGCTGAGTGGCCCTGGCGGAACCCAAACTGTGCATCACAGAGCATGTTATTTCTGTGCAGGTGCTGCTTGATAACACTGTTGATGACACCTTCCAACAATTTACTGATGAGCAAGAGTAGACTGATGGGCTGGTAATTGGCTGGGTTGGATTTGTCCTGCTTTTTGTGTACAGGACATACTTGGGCAATTTTCCACACTGACGGATAGATACCAGTGTTGTAACTGTACTGGAACAGCTTGGCTAAGGGAGGGGCAAGTTCTGGAGCACAAGTCTTCAGTACTATTGCTGGAATGTTGTCAGGGCCGGTAGCCTTTGTAATATCCAGTGTCTCCAACCATTTCTTGATATCACGTGGAGTGAATCGAATTGGCTGAAGACTGGCATCTGTAATGGCGGGGACTACTGGAGGAGGCCGAGATGGATCATCCACTTGGCACTTCTGGCTGAAGATTACAGTGAATGCTTCAGCCTTATCTTTTGCACTGATGTGCTTCTTCCATCATTGAGGATGGGGATATTTGTGGAGCCTCCTCCTCCAGTGAGTTGTTTAATTGTCCACCACCATTCACGACTGGATGTAGCAGGACTGCAGAGCTTCAATCTGATCCGTTGGTTGTGGGATCATTTAGCTCTGTCTATCACTTGCTGCTTTCGCTGTTTTGGTGTGCACGTAGTCCTGGCTTCACCAGGTAGATACTTCATCTTCAGGTATGCCTGGTGCTGCTCCTGGCATGCTCTCCTGCACTCTTCATTGAACCAGGGTTGATCTCCTGGCTTGATGGTAATGGTTGAGTGGGGGGATATGCCCAACCATGAGGTTACAGATTGTGCTGGAGTACAATTCTGCTGCTGTTGATGGCCCACAGTGCCTCATGGATGCCCAGTCTTGCAATGGTCACTCTTACCAATACTGTCATGGACAGGTGCAATTGCAGCTGGCAGATTAGGAAGGATGACATGAAGTATGTTTTTCCCTCTTGATGGTTCCCTCACCACCTGCTGCACACCCAGTCTAGCAGCTATGTCCTTTAGGACCCGGCCAGCTTGATCAGTAGTACTGCTGCCAAGCCACTCTTGGTGGTGGACATTGAAATCCTCCACCCAGAGTACATTTTGTGCGCTTGCCATCCCCCGTGCTTCCTCTCAGTGTTGTTCAACATTGGGGAGTACCGATTCATCAGCTGGGGGATGACTATATGTGGTAATCAGCAGGAGGTTTCCTTGCCCATGTATAACTTGAAGCAATGTGACTTCATGGGGTCCAGAAACAATGTTGAGGACTCCTAGAGCAACACTCTCCCAACTGTATACCACTGTGCCACCCCCTCTGCTGGGTCTGTCCCGCTGGTGAGACAGGACATATCCGGGGATGGTGATGGTGGTGTCTAGGAGTGTTCAACAACACTCCCCAGGACCTTACCATTAAATGTATAAGTCCTGCCTTAATTTGCCTTTCCAAAATGCAGCATCTCACTTTTATTTAAATTAATCTCCATCTGCCATGTCTCGGCCTATTGGCCATCTGATCAATGTTCCGATGTACTCTGAGATAACCTTCTTTGCTGTCCAATACACCTTCAATTTTGGTGTCATCTGTAGACTTACTAACCATATCTCTTATGTCCACATCCAAATCATTTATATAAATGAGGAAAAGCAGTGGACCCTGTACCGATCGTTGTGGCACATTGCTGGTCACAGGCCTCCAGTCTGAAAAGCAACCCTCTGCCACCACCCTCTGTCTTCTATCTTCAAGCTAATTCTGTATCCATTTGATACAGAATTATTTCTCCCTGTATTCCATGTGGGACTAACTAGTCTACCACGAAGAACCTCGTCGAACATCTAACTGAAGTCCATACAGATCATGTCCACCGCTCTGCCCTCATCAATCCTCTTTGCTACTTCCTCAAAAAACTCAATCAAGTTAGTCAGACACGATTTCCCACACACAAGGCCATGTTGACTATCCCTGATTAGTCCTTGCCTTTCTAAAAACAAGTAAACCCTGTCCCCCAGGATTCTCTTCCATAAAGTGCCCACCGCTGTTGTCAGGCTCACTGGTCTATTGTTCCTTGGCTTTTCCTCATCACCTTCTGTAAATAGTGGCACATTGCTAGCCAACCTCCAGTCCTATGACACCTCACCTGTGTCTACTGATGTTACAAATATATCAGCAAGGGGCCTAGGGATCACTTCCCTAGTTTCACACAAGGTTCTAACGTGCATCTGATCAGGTCCCCGGGATTTAGTAATTTAATCTAAAATAAATATTGAGGTAACTGCAACTATTAATGACATGAGAATATAAGTGACTAAAAAATTACTGATGAAATCTTCAAAGTGTAAAGTACTGTACCAGCGGTAACATTTTCCAAGTAACCAATATTTGGCGCACGTAAAATATGGTAAATGAGTTCTTCATCTTTACTATCACGATCAGATGCTTTCAAGTGTCGAGAGGAAATATATATTCCATACTTTTGATTTTTGAACACTTCAACTTTTGATGGACACTGAAGGTAGACAATTCTTGGGAAAGCCTTGTCCTCATGGTCCACCTGAACAAAAGCAATAATTAATTATTAGCTCTCTCAGTACAAAGAATCTTTTTCTAAAATGTACATCTCCACATGTTATTGCTGTTCTATATCTTCTACAAATACTGAAACGAGAGAGAGAAGAAGTTTTCATTTATTTTTTAATAGGATTCTCAAAAGCAATCAGAGCAACAATCAAAAAAAGTGTCCAGTCTAGGAACACAGATCAGTACAGCACAGTACAGGCCCTTCGGCACACAATGTTGTGCCAAACTTTTACCTTAATCCTAAGGTCTATCTAACCTCCACCCCTACCTTATACTATCATCCATATACCTATCTAATAGCCGCTTAAATGCCCTTAATGAAGCCGACTCCACCATCCTCTCCGGCAATGCATTCCACGCTCCTACCACTCTGAGTAAAGAACCTACCTCTGGCGTCTCCCCTATATCTACCTCCACTCACTTTAAAACGAGGGGAAAAGATTGCAAAGATGATTCTGGATAGGAGCGAAAGTAACAGGGAAGTTGTAATGGGGGACTTTAACTTTCCAAATATTGACTGGAAACGCTATAGTTCGAGTACTTTAGATGGGTCAGTTTTTGTCCAATGTGTGCAGGAGGGTTTCCTGACACAGTATGTAGATAGGCCAACAAGAGGCGAGGCCACATTGGATTTGGTACTGGGTAATAAACCAGGCCAGGTAGGTGAGCACTTTGGTGATAGTGACCACAATTCGGTTACATTTACTTTAGCGATGGAGAGGGATAGGTATATACCGCAGGTCAAGAGTTATAGCTGGGGAAAGGCAATTATGAGGCGATTAGGCAAGATTTAGGATGCATAGGATGGAGAAGGAAACTGCAGGGGCTGGGCACAATTGAAATGTGGAGCTTGTTCAAGGAACAGCTACTGCGTGTCCTTGAGAAGTATGTACCTGTCAGGCAGGAAGGAAGTGGTCGAGCGAGGGAACCGTGGTTTACTGAAGAAGTTGAATCTCTTGTCAAGAGGAAGAAGGAGGCTTATGTAGAGATGAGGCGTGAAGGCTCAGTTAGGGTGCTTGAGAGTTACAAGTTAGCCAGGAAGGACCTAAAGAGAGAGCTAAGAAGAGCCAGGAGGGGACATGAGAAGTCTTTAGCAGGTAGGATCAAGGAAAACCCTAAAGCTTTCTACAGGTACGTCAGGAATAAAAGAATGACTAGAGTAAGATTAGGGCCAGTCAAGGACAGTAGTGGGAAGTTGTGAGTGGAGTCCAAAGAGATAGGAGAGGCGCTAAATGAATATTTTTCATCAGTATTCACACAGGAAAAAGACAATGTTGTCGAGGAGAATACTGAGATACAGGCTATTAGACTAGACGGGATTGAGGTTCATAAGGAGGAGGTGTTAGCAATTCTGGAAGGTGTGAAAATAGATAAGTCCCCTGGGCCGGATGGGATTTATCCTAGGATTCTCTGGGAAGCTAGAGAGGAGATTGCAGAGCCTTCGGCTTTGATCTTTATGTCATCATTGTCTTCAGGAATAGTGCCAGAAGACTGGAGACTAGCAAATGTTGTCCCCTTGTTCAAGAAGGGGAGTAGAGACAACCCTGGTAATTATAGACCAGTGAGCCTTACTTCGGTTGTGGGTAAAGTGTTGGAAAGGATTATAAGAGATAGGATTTATAATCATCTAGAAAGGAATAATTTGATTAGGGATAGTCAACACAGTTTTGTGAAGGGTAGGTCGTGCCTCACAAACCTTATTGAGTTCTTTGAGAAGGTAATCAAACAGGTGGATGAGGGTAAAGCGGTTGATGTGTGTATATGGATTTCAGTAAAGTGTTTGATAAGGTTCCCCATGGTAGGCTATTGCAGAAAATACGGAGGCATGGGATTGAGGGTGATTTAGCGGTTTGGATCAGAAATTGGCTAGATGTAAGAAGACAGAGGGTGGTGGTTGATGGGAAATGTGCATCCTGGAGTTCAGTTACTAGTGGTGTACCTCAAGGATCTGTTTTGGGGCCACTGCTGTTTGTCATTTTTATAAATGACCTGGATGAGGGCGTAGAAGGATGGGTTAGTAAATTTGCGGATGACACCAAAGTCGGTGAAGTTGTGGATAGTGCAGAAGGATGTTGCAGGTTACAGAGGGACATAGATAAGCTGCAGAGCTGGGCTGAGAGGTGGCAAATGGAGTTTAATGCGGAAAAGTGTGAGGTGATTCACTTTGGAAGGAGTAACAGGAATACAGAGTACTGGGCTAATGGTAAGATTCTTGGTAGTGTGGATGAGCAGAGAGATCTCGGTGTCCATGTGCATAGATCACTGAAAGTTGCCACCCAGGTTGATAGCGTTGTTAAGAAGGCGTACGGTGTGTTAGGTTTTATTGGTAGAGGGATTGAGTTTCGGAGCCATGAGGTCATGTTGCAGCTGTACAAAACTCTGGTGCGGCCGCACTTGGAGTATTGCAAACAGTTCTGGTCACCGCATTATAGGAAGCATTGGGAAGATGTGGGTGCAGAGGAGATTTACCAGGATGTTGCCTGGTATGGAGGGAAGGTCTTATGAGGAAAGGCTGAGGGACTTGAGGCTGTTTTTGTTAGAGAGAAGAAGGTTAAGAGGTGACTTAATAGAGACATACAAGATGATCAGAGGATTAGATAGGGTGGAAAGTGGGAGCCTTTTTCCTCGGATGGTGATGGCTAGCATGAGGGGACATAGCTTTAAATTGAGGGGTGATAAATATAGGACAGATATCAGAGGTAGGTTCTTTACTCAGAGAGTAGTAAGGGCGTGGAATGCCCTGCCTGCAAAAGTAGTAGACTCGCCAACTTTAAGGGCATTTAAATGGTCATTGGATAAACATATGGATGATAATGGAATAGTGTAGGTCAGATGGGCTTCAGATTGGTTTCACAGGTCGGCGCAACATCGAGGGCCGAAGGGCCTGTACTGCGCTGTAATGTTCTATGTTCTATGCCACCTCATAATAGCTACCTCCACCCTAGGAAAACATCTCTGGCTGTCTACTCTATCTATACCTCTGATCATTTTGTACACCTCTTTCAAGTCACCTCTCATCCTTTGTCGTTCTAAAGAGAAAAACCCTAGCTCTCTCAACCTTTCCTCGTAAGACCTTCCCTCCATTCCAGGCATCATCCTGGTAAATCTCCTCTGTACCTTTTCCAACACTTCCACATCTTTCCTGTAATGAGGTGACCAGAACTAGACACAATACTCCAGATGTGGCCGAACCAGGCTTTTGTATAGCTGGAGCATAACTTCAGGGCTCTTGAACTCAATCCCTCTATTAATGAAAGCTAACACACCATACGCCTTCTTAACAACTCTATACACCTGGGTGGCAGCTTTCAGGGAACTGTGAACATGAACCCCGAGATCCCTCTGCTCCTCCACACTGCCAAGAATCTTTCCATTAACCCTGTATTCTGCTTTCACGTTTGTCCTTCCAAAATGAATCACCTCACACTTTTCAGGGTTAAACTCCATCTGCCACTTCTCAGACCAGCTCTGCATCCTATCAATGTCCCTTTATAACCTAGAAAAGCCCTCTGCACTGTCCACAACACGACCCACCTTTGTATCGTCCGCGAACTTGCTAATCCACTCTTCCACTCCTTCATCCAAATCATTTATAAAAATCATAAATAGAAGAGGACCCAGAACAGATCCTTGTGGTACACCACTCATAACTGAGCACCATGTTGAATATTTTCCGTCCACCACCACCCTTTGTCTTCTAAGAGTCTGCCAATTCTGAATCCAATCTGCCACATTTACCCCTATCCCATGCCTCCTTACCTTCTGCATGAACCTACCATGGGGAACCTTATCAAACGCTTTACTTAAATCCATGTATACCACATCCACTGCTCTACCTTCATCCACGTGTTTGGTCACCTCTTCAAAGAATTCAATAAGGTTTGTGAGGCATGATCTACCTCTCACAAATCCATGCTGACTATCACAAATCAAACTGTGCCTTTCCAAGTGATCATAAATCCTATCTCTCAGAGCCCTTTCCAATAATTTGCCCACCATTGACATAAGACTACCTGGCCTGTAATTTCCGGGGTTATCCCTATTCCCTTTTTTGAACAAGGGAATGACGTTTGCCTCTCTCCAATCTTCCGGCACTATGCCCGTGGACAGTGAGGACAAAAAGATCATCGCCAAAGGCCCTGCGATCTCTTCCCTCACTTCCCATAGAATCCTTGGATAAATCCCATCAGGCCCGGGGGACTTATCTATCTTCAACTTCCTCAAAATTCCTAGCACATCTTCCTTACTAACATCGACCTCCTCTAGCCTACCAGCCTGTTTCACACTTCCTCCTCTACAACTAGGTACCTCTCAGTTGTGAATACCGAAGAAAAGTATTCATTAAGGACCTCTCCTATCTCTTTCGGCTCCGTGCACAAATTCCCTTTACAATCCTTGATTGGCCCTACCCTTTCTATGCTAATTCCCTTATTGTTCACGTACGTGTAAAAAGCCTTGGAGTTTTCCTTGATCCTATCTGCCAAGGTTTTCTCATCCCCCTTATAGCTCTCCTAAACCCTTTCTTCAGCTCCTTCCTGGATAACTTGTATCCCTCTAGAGCCTTTCCTTTTCCTTGTTTCCTAAACCCTACGTAAGCATCCTTCTTCCTCTTACCAGTCGTTCGACTTCTCTTGAGAACCAAACCTCCCACACTCGACCTCATCTTCCTTGTCTGCTCGGGACAAACGTATCGAGCACACGCAGTATGCACTCCTTAAACAATCTCCACATTTCAATAGTGCTCTTCCCTGATAGCATCTGTTCCCAATTTATGTTACCCAGTTCTTGCCTAACAGAATTGTAATTACCCTTCCCCCAATTATAAACCTTACCCTACTGTATGTACTTCTCCTTTTCCATGACTATTGTCAAAGTAACAGAGTTATGATCGCTTCACTCATTCACTCATTTCTCACTGTAGAAGTGTTCAGTTTTAGCGCATATCATATGCAATACGCTAAACTGGAGCAGCCATTCAAATACTGTGTCTATAACAGCAGGAAAGAGGCTAGGCAGTAACTCACCTCAGAAAAACTGTTCATCATCTACAAGGGACAACTCAGGAGTATGAAGAAATACTTCCCAACTGCCTGGGTGAGGGTAGCTCCAATAACGCTCAAGAAGCTCAACACTGTTCATAACAAAGCAGCCAGCTTGACTGTCATGCCATCTACCACCTTCAGCATCCATTCTCTCCACCTATAACATTCAGTAGCAGTAGTGAATACAATCCAAAATATGCACTGTAATAGCCCACCAAGACTCCTTCGATGGTACCATCCAAATCCATGACAACTTCCATTTGGAAGGTCAAGGACAGCAGATGTGTGGGGACAGTCCCTCTCCCAACCATACACTATCCTGACTTGGAACTACATCCAAACCTTCACTCTCACTGAGTCAAACTGCCTTTCTAATGCATTACGGGTGCACCTACCGCCTCACACAGTGGTCAAAAATGTTCTCTCTTCCTTGAGAGTTCTCAAGGGCTTGTTTCTTGTTTTCAAGGGCTATTTTGTAATTCTCACTAACTCCTTCAATAGCTGACTGCAGTCACATACTAACAATACCTTCTGTATTTGTATTAACCTTTGGGTATTTCACCTAGCAAAAGATGTAGAATTAGAACAATTCACTAACAAAATGAGAGCAATTCAGTAACATAATTATATATTTTATGTACACATAAAATAGGTTAAAATTATAATATAATTCATTACCATTCCATTAAACTTGAGTCACCAGCATTGATTCAATTTAATTCCAGGACATCACAGTATTTAAAAAAGCACAAGACATCTGGTAAAGTTAACAATAGAATTTTTTCTTTAACATAACTGACACATCCTTTGTAAAAAGCATATTCATTTGCAAGAAATTATTCCTCACAGTGACTTCAAGTTTTCTTGGCTTCCACTAAGCTGAATATTCCTTTGTGGCAGGTTTAAAACAGTTTGCTCCTCTTGGCAGCCTCCATCCCCACAACATTCAACACACCTCTCCACCAACCATGATCCTTTATGACCATTTACTTCTCCCCCATAGCCTCGCTCTTTACAATCACTCACTGCTCTGCATGCTTAGCAAACCGGTTTCTCTGCCCCCCACCCCCCACTGCACCCCCTCCCCCACCCCCGACTTTGCTTGCACACACTTTGCCCTCGGGCCTCACCATCCTTTTTTACCATCATTACTTAACCTCTTGCTGCTCCTCCCATTACAGGCTGCAATCATCCCATGTCTGCTGGTGATAAGATGCACAAGGGAGAAACAGCTTGTGGTTGGAGGAACAGATTCTTCCAAAATTTCTTAGTTCCATGTAGTTCCAATTGGTTAGCACTGCAATTCATTCCTCACAGGCAATCTGGGGGCTTTCAGGTGCAAATGCATCCGTTGACTTGTTGTATTTTGAAAGCTGCCCATGAGGACTGGCGCAGTTCAAGAAAGCAGCTCACCATCACTTAATTAGGGAAAGGCAATAAATGCTGCCCAGCCAAAATGCTCATGAGCTAAGAATGACCTTATTTTTAATGAAAAGTATATTAATTCCCATTGGGACTCCTCAGATTTCATTTGAAGCTGTTCCCCATAATTCACTGCATCTGATCAACGGGATATTTCTAACATTTCTATGATCATTTTTTAACTTTACGATCTAAAATTCCTAAACCATAATTCAGGTCCCAACAATCATATTCCTAAAAGGAGGACAGCGGGATAACGCGATCTTCAGGAATTGTACTTGCACAGATCAATAATGCTTCTGCATGCATCAGGATTGATGAGAAAGCTTCATTCAATGCTATTAGGAGCTGGGTCCATCTGACTAAATTAGCATGTTTCATCACCAAAGCCCCGTTCTTAAAGAACAAAGAATAGTACAGCACCAGATCAAACCCTTCAGCCCACTAAGACTGTGTCAACATGTGATGCCTTTCTAAACTGAAAAAATTTTACATCTATGTTGTTCGAATCCCTCTACTCAATGCCTGTTCATATATTTGTAAAGATGCCTCTTGAACATTATTACTGTATCAGTCTCCACCATCTCCTCTGGCACTGCATTCCAGATACTTACCACCCACTGTTTAAAACACTTACATCTCACATATCCTTTAAACTTACCAACTTTTACCTTACACCTATGTCCCCTAGTAATTGACATTTCTACTCTGAGAAAAAGACTCTGACTATCCATTCTATCCACACCTTGCAAAATTTTGTAAACTTCTATCAGTTCGCCCTTTATCCTTTGATGTTCAAGTGAAAACTAATCAAGTTTGTCCAGTCTCTCCTCATAGCTTATAGCCTCCAAAACAAGCAACACTCTGGTAAACCATTTATAGAACCTTTTCAAAGCTTCCACAGCCTTTATTCACCTTTATGTATTTTAAAACCTCCAGCATCACCTTTCCTGTAATAAAATTCAAGACATCACTATTTACTTCTTCACAGCCTTACTGGCCTTAGTCTCTGACTCCTCCTTGATAATTTTACTTGCTGCTCTGGTTCCCAAAACCCTGCCACACTAGTTTTAACCTTCCTAAGTGGCACTAGCAAACCTCCCTGCCAGTATATTGGTACCCCTTCAGTTCATGTACAACCTGTCCTTCTTGTACATTTCCCACATGCCCCAGAAGACATCCCAATGATCCACATATCTGAAGCCCTCCCTCCCACACCAGTGTAGATAACCTCAAGCCACTTGCCTGAATTGTGAATGTGGACGGTTCAGTCTGCAATTTTCCATTGACAAGAAAGCCATGATTTGTCATATCAGTGACAACAAAAGTAAAGCTGTCAATCTGCAAATCTCCTCCAGCATGTTTGTACGCAACATCCATGTTGTCAACATCTAACTGGGAGAAGTTGTGCTGCTTTAGAACAGTCCCTTTGAGGTGCAGTTGTCCATGCTGTGGCTGCTGTGCAATGATGTAGGTGAGGTTCTGTGGAGGGGTATCAGGATCAGACAGCTGTAACACATCAGGAGGAATGGACACCATGGAGCCTTCAACTAATCGGATCCCTTTGTTGCTCATCAGTGTGGGTGGGATGCGATCAATTTTCTTAATGATGATCTCAAGACTTCCATTTCTCGTGGACAGTCCATTGCTGATAATGAATCTAACAAAGAGAGGTAGAGGCAAGGCAACCTTCAGTAAGTTTTTCTGATTCACCATCTATAGAAATGAAATAATAAATTGATAAATACCTTTAACAAGGATCCGGGTCCTAGTCGCTCTGTAACCAAGTTCAGAAATATGGCCGTATGTAATTTGCCAATCATTGTGTTTTATATTGACCAACAGTTGATATCCCAGGGCCTAGTAGAACTAAAGAGAGCACAGGCTACATTTCATGGTGCACTGTGGTTCCCAAGTCCTTAGTTAAAATGTTAAAATGGGGAGGGAGAGCCTATCCATGTACTTGACAGTTACCATGCAGCAGTGTAACATCAAGAACAGCATAACAGACTTTCAGGAGACAGCTTCAACCCTTTTATGGGAGGACAGCCCCTCTCAGAGTGCAGACTATCCAGCAGCTTGATCATAGAGCCAGTAGCATTAGATTGGAAGAATGGCCACAGCTGGAAGGTAGACTTCCACACTGAGGAACTTATGAATATCCTGGCTTGGGGATCTCAGTGAGGGCTGAGTTGCGTAGGGAAGAAGGGTTCAAGAGCCAGTGAAAGGTTAGCTTTGGGTTAGGGGGTGGAAGTAATGGCATGGCTCCAGGTGGCCAAGGAAACTTGCAAAGGATAGCCACAACCCAATTCTAACATCAGCCTACACATATACAGCCAAAAATGACCATAGTTACTTACAACAAACAGAAAACCATGATTGATTTTGGAAATGTGAACTAATGCACAAAGTGATGGCTATATTCACCAAGCTTGAGGGAAGATCATGAGCCTGAAGGATTGGGCACAATTTTCCCAATCTAGAGGTCCCAAGTTCACTTTTGGCAGTGATAAGATTGGCTCAGAGATATTCCAAGATGTAGCATCCCAAATGGCATCTTCCATGTTTGCCATGCTGTTAGGGATTCCAGAAGTTCTGGAAGTTGCCTCCAGAGGAACAGCAGCCCCGAAGTTGAGGCAGCTCTATCAGAAGAGGTGGACACTGCTGACGGTGCTCACACAACCGCGGCCCACCCCCAAGGGCATGTCAGCATGGAGGCACCACTGGGAGTATGAAGACTAACTGAGCAGGAAAGGTACAGGGAATGGAGAGCCCTCTGGAGATAGCCTACACAGGTGGCCTTTCCAAACTGTGGCCTTATCAGATCCAAGGCCCAGTATCCTGCAAGGATATCACCTTGATTGAGCCGATGGATAAAACTGATGGAAAGCTGGTTTACTGAAAAATTATCATGAAGGTAGATGTCAAATTGTGACAATACAAATAAAACAAGTCATGATAATTCATAAAATAGTTATATAAAATCATTAAACTAAATTTCAAATCATAAATAACGATTGGATAATTGTGATCATTTCAATACACAAATAGGTACAATATTTTGCAAAATGCAGGTATCCTTACTTTACAGAATAAAAATGAAATGTTTACAGTTCTCAATTTATTTAAATATCCATGGATGATATGTTAGAACAAAGAAAATTACAGCACAGGAACAGGCCCTTCGGCCCTCCAAGCCAGCACCTAACATGCTGCCTGTCACAACTAAAACCCCCCACCCTTCCAGGGACCATATCCCTCTACTCCCATCCTATTCATGTATTTGTCAAGATGCCCTTTAAAAGTTAGTACGGTATCTGCTTCCACTACTTCCCCTCGGCAACGAGTTCCAGGCACCCACAACCCTCAGTGTAAAAAACTTGTCTTGTACATCACCTTTAAACCTTGCCCTTCGCACCTTAAACCTATGGCCCCTAGTGACTGACTCTTCCAACCTGGGAAAAAGCTTCTGACTGTCCACTCTGTCCATGCCCTTCATAATCTTGATGACCTCTATCAGGTCGTCCCTCAACCTCCATTGTTCCAGCGAGAACAACCCAAGTTTCTCCAACCTCTCCTCATAGCTAATGCCCTCCATACCAGGCAAAATCCTGGAAATCTTTTCTGTACCCTCTCCTAAGCCATCACATCCTTCTGGTAGTGTGGCGACCAAGTAGATTTATTTAAATTCTAAATCATCTGCAAACTTTTCATGAATTTTATAAAGTAAGGGTTTGGGCTGCCTACAGTTATTAGTTCTGTATCTGATATACAGAATGATATCTTTTCTCCTTAATTCCATCGCATGCCTTTTTTTGTGGTTGTTGAAGAGACAATGGCAGTTGGACAAGGGATTGAAGAACATTCTAGCAAAATTCAAACATAGCTTGCAAGGTATCAAATATTCAGGTTGATTGTGTGTTTTATGTGATTGTGCCAGATAGTATCCTTGGTACACATTACCAAGGATCAGTTTCAGTACTGGTTTCTAAATATGTTTAAGTTTATTCACATGTTCTTTGGATGAGTACACCCAAACACACACACTGTGTCTTAACCAATCAGTCTGTAACTATTAAGTACAGTGATTGTGTTGGTTTGAGAAGATGTTTTCATGCTTGAGAGGGTGTAGCAAATGAAGCCTTTCACTTGCCATTTTAAACGTTTCATGCACTTGATAATCCTATCTGAGAGAAAGTTGAATGCAGATTTTAAACAGTTTGCAAGCAATTTCTGCATCAGGTAAGTTAATGAGGGGGGATCAGGAGGGTTATACATGAAACAATCCATAATGTTGTACTTTCAGATCTCACTCTCTTGTGATTCACTTTTGCCTATTCACATGATTAAGTGATTGTCCCTCCTATGTGAAATGTGTTGTCTTTATTACAATACTATGAAAGAATCAAGTCATCCATATGCTTGTCTCATCAGGTTTGAGAAGTTATCTGTGCTGCCTGTATAATACTAGTCAGCTCAAGACAAATGGCCTTCATTGAGGCTGTAGGAATTTAAATTGGTAGCCCACATGTGTGGAGTAGACTGCCAATCCATCTCCTGTTTTACCTCGGGAAACTTTCTTGGTGGCAAGAATCCATCGATAGGTCATTCTGGCCCAGGTCTCTACTGTTCCCTGACATCTTCCATGCTTAATGAGATCATCTATCTCAACCTCATTTTTTAACCCACTCTTCCCATATCACTTGCTTTCTTTAACATCAAAAATCCACCAATCTCTATCTTGAAGATATTCCGTAGCCCTCGATAGAAGAGAATGTCAAAGATTCACCAACTTCTGGGTGAAGAGATTCCTCCTTATCTCAGTCCTAAATGACCTGCTTCTTATTCCAAGATTATGACCCTGTTGCTAGACACCTGCACCCCAACCACCCACTACACGCACTCTGTAAGAACTTTGTTGCTTGATTCAATTAAATCATTTCTTACTCTTCTGCAGTAAATACAGGCCCAGTGCTCAGTATTTCCTCAAAGGAAGATCTCACTATCATAGGGATCTGGTGAACCTCCATTGCATTCCTTCCCCAGCGAGTATTTACTGTCTTAGATAAGGAGACCAAGTCAAAACACAATACTCCAGATGTAATCTCACCAAGACTCTATGTAAAATCCGTAAGGTATTTACTTCTATGCTCAAGTCCACTTGCAATGAAGGTCATTTGCTGCACACGTACATTAGCTGTTAGTGTCTCATGGACAAAGGCGTCCTTTGGACATTAATACTTTCCAACATCTCACCATTTCAGAAATACTCTGAATATCTGTTTTTCCTACAAAAGTGGATAACTTCCTACTTTTGTACAGTATATTACATCTGCCATGCTCTTGCACACTTACTGTAACTATCTAACTTCCTTTGAAGCATGTTTGTATCCTCCTTGCAACTCACACTCCACTTACACTCTGTTTTTCTCTCTCCTCATTGCTGCCAGATCTGCTGGGTTTCTGTAGAATTCTCTGTTTTTATGTCAGATTTCCAGTACCTACAGTATTTTGCTTTCATATGACACTGAGCCGTATGTCCCAACTATTTTCTCACCTTTAGTCAATCCTTAATCCATGGCAGTATATGATCCCTGCTCAATATCATGGAATCTAATTTTGTTCACTAATTTCATGTGGCAACTTATCGAAATCCTTCTAAAAATTTATATGCAGCACAACCATTCATTTCTCCTTATCTACTCTGCAAGGTACATACTCAAAAAGCTTTGACAGATTTGTCAAATATTATTTTACTTTCATAACTCCAAGTCAACTTTGCCAATCAGGCATTGATCTTCAAAGCATCAAGCAACCTCATCCAGAATACTACTGCTTTAGTCCCTAGAGCAATACTGCGATGATATTTGGGGTTGGAATGTGACTTCTTGATATACAGTTTTGTGGTTGCTTTTTCTCAGAGGAAACCAAATAGCAACCTGTCTTCAGGCTCCCAACCAACCAGGGAAGCCTGGATGATATGGCTTATACAGTATGTAACAAAGGAGGTCTAAAGGGATTCCAGCAGCACATGCAATCACAGAACTAAGTGTGTCAATAAATCAGTATGAGGCAGGAATTAAAGAAAGAGCAGAGAAATGGTTCAAACTTGACTGCCTGTTTCACGGATGTATCTCTGGAGGGAATGGTGAAAATTGTCAGGACACAGAGTCCTGTTTTTGCAGAACAGAAGGACAAAGCCAGCCAAAAAACCTCACCAAACAAGTTTGCTTCCAGGTTGCTGAGGCAATGAGCAGCTGCAGTTTTCTGTTATTTGCTTATGAAATGTGGTTGTTGCATTGCCAAATCTTAATTGCTCTTCAGAAGGTGATGGTGAGCTGCCTTCTAGAACCACTAAAGCCTATTAGACATAAATACATCCGCAATGCTATTCCAGGGAGTTCCAGGATTTTCGTCCAGTGACCCTGAAGGAACAGTGATATATTTCCAATATTAAGTGGCTTGGATGAGAGCTTGCAGGTGGCAGTGCAGAGTAGCTGGATCCAGTGCTGTATTTAATCAAATGACTCTCAGCTCATTATTCTCTTCTGCACAAGAATTCTCATTCCGGTCACATTTTCCTCTTTCACCAGCCTTGTCTGCAAATCAACAGACAGAACTCACCACCCAACAATACCCACCACACTTCCCACTCCTATT